TATGACAATCACAAAACCAATAGTCAATAAACGTCAAACACTGAACAAACAGGAACTAACATAAAAATTACATGCTTCTAAAACAATCTCCTAACATAGTAATTCTGTTTGTTCATTTGTTCACTAAGCCACCAGAAGTGACAATCAGTTACTAAGTTATTCAGGAAGTTGATATGAAATAAGATGGCCAATGCAAATAACTGGTCGGATTCACAAAGAGAACTATTCAGCTAGATTCAAACTTCATTTAAGTACTAGGTGCCCGAGTTCACAAACATCCAAATATCATTGTAAAACAATTACATATGGTGAGCGTATAGCAGTTTTAAATATTAAAGAAAAACCAAAATATTGAATAAAGGAAGATAGATAGTTATGCAGAACGACAATAAAGGCAGAAAAAAATTAGTTTCATATCTAAGTATTTGAAAACCATGTCATGAGCACTAGCAGCGTAAACATAATAGCTGCTTGTTGTCCAACATTGACAAGACACAGCTGCAAGATGAACATAGAAATTTCAGAATAAACAGCTTATTGCTTACATATGTAAGGGCCATGTAGAGACGAAAAGTTAGAATGAACTAGGTGGATAACAAATATCATCTCATGGTTAAAAATCTCAATTTGGATCATAAACCATATTACGAGAGAAGATGAATTTACCTCTTCAATGTGGTAACCTTTTCTCGAGGCTCGAACAATCATCTCCATCTGAAAGACATATCCTTTACTAACACAAGAGTTGATGATATCTTCAAGCACTGATTTCTTGTAAAGTCTTCCAATGAAAAGAAAAAAAATAAAATCAGTTCAAATGTACCAAAAAAATAAAAAGGGGCTGCTAATCTAAAATGGTTAAAGTACCGAAAGGATCCAGTCAAGTCTGATACACCAGGCCATAAAAGTGTCTGCGCAAGAACATTGGCTCCTCGACTTGTTAGCTTGCGCATAAGATTCCACCCATGTACACCGCCACCTTTAACATAACGAGTTCCAGTAACTATGCATGCACCAGTCTCCAACTGTTTCCTGATGAAAGAGTTTTTCACAGAAATCAGAAGGACTTTAAGAAGCTTCAAAATCAAAGATTTTAAGAGACTAGAGAGGAACTTTCCCTACTTGATGAAGCTTGGCAAGTACTTTGGCTGCCCCCTCCCCCCAAAAAAAAAATTGAAACAATCAGATAGAGAGTTCAAAGCAGCAATCATCTAGAACAAAGAGTCAAATACATCAAATATAACCTTACATGATGTGAGAGATCAGCATCCATGATTACAACAAAATTACCAGATGCATGTTTCAGACCATGTATATAGCGGTTCCTGAGATCAAGTAGGTATTTTTTAAGAACAAATATATAAATCAAGTATGTAGATATCCGCAGTCATACTTTTTAAGTCACATTAAGTTTACTCTAAAACTGGAGATTTGTAACTACATACCCAAGCCAGCTTCTTTAAGTCGTGTCTTAACAACTGTGTCATTCATAACAAATAAGTATAAAATTAACCAGAAAAA